GACTAACGTTAGTATATATGGATCAAAATTCTGAATTCTGCCCCGTCTCGTTGCGACATATGATTGATTTGATTGGCTACCAAATACGAGTACAGTACTAGTACTTCACTGTGAAGTACTACGTAGTACTCAATGGAAGATGTAGCCAATCAGCGAAAAGAAATATCCAACTACTAATAGTACTTCGAAGTAATTTTCAGTGCGAGATTTCGATTGGGCAGGTCCCGAAATTCGCACCGAATCTAATGTACAACAGTATCGCTGCCATCGGCTTTCAAAGACCAGTTGAACAAATCAATTTCCCCACCCGTGCAACTACGCTAGCGGCTGGTTTTGCCGGTAGGAGTTATCCTGGAGCATGCTGGAGCAGCTAACGACTGACATATCGCCGCATTGAACCATGTGCTTTTATGATGTAAATGACACAACGATGGTGCTTGGCTTGCGCCATCCATGTGAATATTACAGGGGCCGTACTTGTCGCGGAGGATTTGGCAATGACCCTCGAACCACTGCTCGAACAACACGCTGTTAAGGTTGCCGTGGTAATCATCGTCGACTTCTTGCTCTTCGTCATGTTTGCGCTTAGGTTTTCGATCCTATGGACAAAGATTCAGAGAGCTCGGCACCCACTTGCCACGGAGACCGTGTCTTGACAAGATCACACCGGCGCCAACGATGCAGATGCGGCGGCATTTTCCACTTCAGGTACGGCGTTCTATCGTATCATCCACCCAAGGTTTCGGCGGGGCGTGGTTGACATTGCAGTAGGACTCGTCCAAGAACACTTCGGGTACAACAGGCGAACCACTCAATGTCCGGTTGGACAACTTCTTGCGAAACCCTGAAAGCCACGTTGGCGGTTGACTCTGCTAGATAGCATCGGCTTCGTCGCTTAAGAAAGCTGTAGCCAAGGCGCCGGAGGACCCGCCGCATGGTACGGACGGCAGCGGGCAAGTCGTCTTTGTCGTCGAGGTAGTTGCAGGTGGCCATAGCAGTTACGGGTACGCAGTTGGTGTTGGCGTTGAGTATAAACTCACGTATCTCGCCCGAGTAGGTTTCTGTGATCGAGCGCGGACGATGCCCCCTATCGGGTCTCTCGACTTGCGATTTTCCTTCTCCAAAGGATGGGTCTGTCGCGCCGCCACTCCATTATGATTCGGTTGATCGTGTTCGTTGAGAAGCCCAGGCATTCAGCCACCCTCAGTCGCACGGGTGCTTGTAGACCCGTAGTTGTAGCCTTTACCTTCATAAAGTATTCATGGCATTTTACAACCAAGTACTTTTCGGCTGCCGAGAGCTGATGTTTTTTTTATATCTCGTCGGACGGTGATGCTAAATTCGTGCTTGAATGTGCTAAATACTGCTGTTTTTCGCCCCCTACACGCCACACATTCCAACATCTTGAAATTCGTATTCTTTCATAATTATAATACTATTTGTATTGTGCTTTTCACATATTTTGGCTAATCTGGGTATAAATACCCGCTTTTAACCAGTCGGTGACGAAGTTTTAGATTAATTCAACTTAGTTTTAG